AAGGCGGACTGAAAGGGTGGGAGGTGGAGGTACTGTGTACTGTACTTTAAAAGCAACATGTAGTGAAGAGATTAATTCAGTACCCACATGGAAGACGGTACACTGTGGACCAAAATAGTAAAGGATTTGGATGGAGAAGCAGATTGTTGTTTTTCATATACCTCACTGTTACAGGTGGAGTCAGTTTTAGTGTAATAGCCTGACTCCCTAAGCTTAAAAACCCACAATACATGAATCAATTAAAGCTTTTCTTCTACAGCTGGTAAAAGCACATGGTAAAGCACAAATAAAACAAAAAAAACACAGAAACCTGATGTTTGAAACAGGCAGAGCAATACAACATTTGTATGTTCTTCTACCCACAAAGATCATAAGATATATAGAATAACACAGGTTCAGAGCAAACAAACCAAACAAGGAAATCGGGGAAGAAGTTCTTCTGTACCTGAAACAGCAGCATCACGTAGGGATCTTATTACTGAAACAGCACACTGAACACAGTTACGTAGAGCTTTTTAGTGCATTGATAGTATGTACAACATCAATATCCTTCGGTGATAGTTGTAGCTTCACTGGACTTTGAGAACACTGGGACAGATAGTTAACTGAAGTGTGCAGAGTGTGACTAATTGGAGGTGTTGTAACCTGTTGCCTAGAGATAATGTAATCCGTATTATTCTTTTTGTTCATTCTTTATTTTAACAGACAAAATTTCCTTGTTGATTTAGAAAATGGGTCACTGATTGACCCAACCATTTTTTGCATGCCTGTCCTATACAGTTGTGTCTCCTCCCCATGTTTCTCCACTCTTAAAACCCCCGCCCCCATGTATTCCCCCGGTATTTGTAGTTAAAGACAGGCCATGCGGCAGCAGTCACTCATGCTCATACAGATAACAAGAAGCACGTTTGGGTTGCTAGTTTTTTTTGTTTGTGTATATATATTTTTTTGTTTTTATATACGAAATCATGCTTCTAGCCTAGTAATAGATGGTTTTCCCCACAATGGATCCTTTAAAAAAAAGTTAATAAAAAGTGTATCCATATTCTTCTCTTCTGGTACGTGCTATTAGTTAGTTGCATAGCCACCATGGGTATCATTGGGTTGGTTTTGTAGGTGTTCGTCATTTGTTTATGTTTTTCTGTGCGTTCTTCTTCCTGTCAGCTGCTTCTGGTCATGTGTCCATATAGGATGGTTTTGGTGAGGGGATGGACTCTGGCAGAGAAATCTGTAGAGGAAGGTGAAGAAACAAGAAGTCAGGATATATCAAACATTTGTCTTTTCAGAGCACAACAAAGCTTTTTTTTGTTAACTTAATGTTCAGCACATAGCATCCAAGCTGCAGTATGTCAGTGCAGATGTGATCTTTTTGAAGTTAAACTATAAACCTAATGATGTTAGGAATTCAGTGAAAAACCCATGTAAAATCTTTAATGGTTTGAGGACAGAGCATTCTAATTGTTGCTAATTTGCTGGTAAAGTTTTAGCTTGTTCTTGCTGTAGGAAAGACTTGAGCTGCTTAACAGTCTGTGGTCATTATTGCCAGATTTCATCATCTTCATTATACCCCAGACTTTTTAATGGGAGACAGATCTGGCTCGTGGGCAGACCAGTTGAGAACAGCTTGAGAACCTGAAGCTCATCCATATTTATCAGATGTTTTCACCATTGGTATAAATTCTAAGTGATTTCTCCTGAACCCTTTTATGTGATCATAAGTACAGATAGTGACATACACATAGTAAAATAAATGTTTTTAAATCCACATAAAACTTCCCAAACCCTTTCCCATGTCAGTGAAAACAGAAATATTTTAATAGTGCTTTTGCTTGGTTAAAAATGGCAATTTATCACAGCAGTGATAAAGTTTTTCCCTAGAATGCCGGGTTTTCTGAAAATTGTATGATATCAAATTTGTCTTTCCAAAAGATCTAAAATTAGTCTTGCAATGGACCAAAGCTTAAATATTGAGCTTAGTTGTATCCTCATGTATCAGTATAGGCGTTAATTGCAAAAGCAAAAAACAAAAAAGGTTGGCAAAAGTAGTTTAGGATTCAGCAGTAAGTTGCTGGAAATATCAATGACTTCAGCAATGTCATGGCCTTTTCATTAGAAAAGGCAAGTACCTTTTACTGCTACACACCCACACACACATACAGTACACAGAGACTGTGACCTTGAGAGGTTACGAGATCTTTTTTCGGCTGGTTTGTTTTGCTGAGTGCACATTGTGCCAACCTTTTTTCCCAAATAGCTACATCATGCACAGCAAAACAGATAGACCTAAAGTAATTTTGTGCAACAGTAATAATCCATTGCATCAAACACTGTGTATGGAATTATACCAGAACAATTCTGTAAATGCACAATAGAAAATGTTCAATAAAGATTTATTTTGAGTGTGATAGCAAATAACCTTAGCAAAATAGTCAAACTGATGACCTGACTCCTTGAGTGATTCACATATATAACTGTATACATGCCTGAAAATAAGCAGTTTGATAACTAGTTTATTTACAAAGCACTATAAATAATATTGTCAGGTTTTTTAATTTCCACAAATCAAGCATGCAAGCTGCATGCTTGATTTGATGCAGTTCAAATCAAGCATGCAGTTCTGCATCAAACTGAACTTTATATCAGGCCGGCTGGATGTTAGTTGAGTTAGCAGCTTCCTTTATCTGGCCAAGAGAATGTTTGTACAGTGAAGGAAGATTATAGTAAAGAATATGTGTTTGAGCCTTTAAGATTTAATTATTGTCTTATTAGTAAACCTGTTCATGTGCTTGTTGTTTTGCTGTGCCAATCTCACATTACATATCATTAGTATTGAATTAAAGGCACATTCGGCTACATTTAACCCAGTGAGACCAGATTAAATGATTAGTCCCATACCTGAGGGGACGCTGCACTCAGTCTGCTTCACTGCTTAACTCTCCGCAGACTGGCACATTTCACTATTTGAGCACCTTTCTTCACATCCACAGTATCGGGCTACATCAAGGTAGAGGGAGTTAGCGGCAGAGAGGAATTTAGAAGAGGTGGCAAGAGCAAAAGAAGAGTTGCAGGGAATATTAGTATAGGACAGTTAAAAAGATGAAGTGGACAGAAACGGAAAGTTGTGATAGGAAAGCAAAAGAGGAAAATGGTGCCAAAGTGACAAGGAGACCAAACACAAGACAGAAATATAAGGAACAGGTATGAGAAAGAAACATGAGAAGGGGGAGGGAAGAGGGAAGAAAAGACGGAAATTTAAAAACAGTCAAGCCAGGACAGAAGTGATGGGTGGCAGCTGGAGATAAGATAAGAAATCCTTTAGCCACAAAAAATAATATTAAGATTTTCATCCTTTATGTCTGAAATATCTAAATGTGTTAAAACGTCAAAGAGAAGAATACAATATTAAGGAGATAATCTGGTTGAGTTGTCATTTCAAGTACTTCAGAAAGTACTGTCTGCAGAAAAGACAATTTAAAAAATAAGATAATTTAAGGCCGTATAAACCAAGTTGTTAATCATCGATCTGTATCTGTGATAAAACTAATGCTTATTAAGTTATGTTATTGTCTTAAGAACCAGATTTCTCCTTAAGACCTATATTTATTGCAATTAATACTGGATCTAACTTTTACAGTTTAAGTGACACAGCACACAGTCACAGTTGAAGGACTATAAACTTTAATGAAGGAAGAAGACAGAATGTTTGGAAAAATTATAACGCGAGAAATGAAAATATAACCACTACGTCCCACAGTAAATTCATCTACACGATTGTCCAAGAAACACACATATGAAGTAAAAGTGCATCTATGTAACAAAAATGATTGGGTGATTACTTTTGAGCACCTCTACCAAAGCCATAACAGCATCACAGCAAAAACTGCCTGATGTGATGCCTCTCAGATGAAGTAGATGAACATGGAAATGCATACTTGCATATGAGTTTTAATGTTACAGTAGGTTACCAATCAAACAACCAAACATACATCTAACAATTATCTCCTTCTGTTTAAGAGTCAGCATTTCATTTTTAAAATCATAAATGCAACATAAAAATGATACTAAGGTCTTTTTTTAGCCAACTGGAAGTGGCTGAAAAGCACCATAGATATCAAGGCGCTCAGCGCTCAATACCCAGTAAGGGAAGCTTTACCTTGACCTGGTCTGCAGAGATAATTTGTCTAAATTTACAACTGAGTTTGTGGGAATTATTTTTGACACAATTACAGTTTTTAATGCTATACAAGCACACTCATTTAATAAACCATAGCATGTGCAACTTTGTTTATAGCTCCACTTGTATATGAATCATTGTTTATTACTAACCTAAAATGTGGGCATACTCTAGCTTTGCTGCTCTGGCAGACTGCTAAGAACCGTTATGACACTAGATTATATAAGCTATTATTCACTATTTTGTGGTTCGAATCCGCAGGGTTTCAGTCCATTCCTTCCCGCACATCATAGCTAACAACACACTTCTGAGGTTCTGTGAAACCCTTTGGCAAACAGAGAGCTTTCTGTAGATCAGAATCCCACCTTGCTGCCATCCCGACCGAAGATTGCGTAGCTCAGCTCAGCGTCAGCATCCAGCTCGGCGTCCTGCAGAGAACCCTCCATGCACACCTCCTGAACCCCCT